ATGGTGAGCGGGCGCGGGGGGAGGGGCGCCAGGCCGGGGCCGGCGGGGGCGCCGGGGGCGCCGGGGGCGGCGGGCCGCATGGGGCGGGGGGTGGGGAGGACTGGGCTCTGCGTTCACGCCGGCCCTCCGCCCCCCAGGACGTGTTCCTCATGATCAGGCGCCACAAGACCACCATCTTCACGGACGCCAAGGAGTCGAGCACCGTGTTCGAGCTGAAGCGCATCGTCGAGGGCATCCTCAAGCGGCCGCCCGACGAGCAGCGGCTGTACAAGGTGCGGCCGCGGGCGGGCTTTGGGCGGGGGCCGGGCTGGCGCTGCGCGGCGGCCGCGTCGTTGTTGTCAACAGTGGCCGGAACTCCCCCGCGTGGAGGCGAGGCGGCCTCGGGGGCGCCCGGGCTCCTGACAGCCCTGCTATGCGTCCAGGAAACTGAGGCTGGGGAGGCGGCCACTTAGCCCAAGGTCGGATTTGAACTCCGTTGCCCTTAATCCTCCGCAGGCCCATCAGAATCGCGCCCCTTCACCTCCTCTCCTTAATTACAGACAGTTGGAGGGTGTCACGATGAGTAAAGTCCTCGCCCAACCACCGTATTACTTCCCAGCTTTCTGTGGATGCTCTAAAAGCCCCTCCTCCCCACCCCCTTTAGAATCCAACTGCAGAATTATTCAGCTCCGGTGGCTTGGGGTTCTCGTTGGGGGAATGCGTTGTATTGGTCCCTGATTCTGGTGTCCCGCAGCATGGGGTCCCCCACCTAAGTGCGTTGATGAGATTCTGGCTGGAAAGGAGGAAGCTGGCCTTTCACTCCAGACTTTTCTCCCTGCTGCCTGTGCTTCTTCACATACTGTGTTCCGTGCTTTCTGTGTGTCTTTCGCTCAGTGAAACCTCCTGGCTGCCCTACAAGGTGGGAATTTCAGTAATTCCCATCTTACAGCTAAACTTCACATCAGAAAGATGAAACGCTTTGTCCCAGGTGGCAGAGCTGGGATTCAAATCAGGCAGACTGTGGACAGACTGCGTCACTGACTCTTGAAATTAGATTTTCCTGCAGTTTGGGGTGAAAAAAAAAAAAAAAGATTCCAGAGCCCTAACCCTGGGAGGTTCGGATTTGGAAAGTCTTGGGCGTAGCCCTGGAAACTGTGTTTGACACACTTGGGTAGTCCTGGCCCGTATTTGGGTCTGTCTTCCCTGAATCCTAACATCCAGGGAAGTCTCTGGGACTTGCCCGTCCTGGGGCCTCTTGTAACACCTTGCCCACCTCTCTCCCCAGGATGACCAACTTCTGGATGATGGCAAGACACTGGGAGAGTGCGGCTTCACCAGTCAGACGGCACGGCCGCAGGCCCCAGCCACCGTGGGGCTGGCCTTCCGGGCAGGTGAGTGGGGCTGTCAGGCAGGGTGGAACAGACGAAGGGGTCGCTGGGGAGCCTGCTCTTGGCTCCTCCCCGCCTCCAGGGCATCGTGTTCCCCATTCCACAAAGTGTAGGTGGTATCTTGTGATAGTGTGTGTGTTTCTCCACAAAGGGAAAAAAAAAAAGAAAACGAGATGCTTGTAGAAATTGAAGTCTACTTCACGGGGGATTCTAATGTCTATCCCTAGTCATGTTTACAGAGGTCTTACTGAGTATTGGGCCGTCTGCTCTGCATTTTATCTCCGTTCCATTTAAAACACTCCTTAGCCTGCGAGGTAAGCACTGCTATCCTCACTTTGGAGACGTGGACACTTGGGCTTGCCGGCTGTCAAGATTCAGATGCTGACTGCCAGGACCTTTGTAGGACATCACTTAGACCCCCAGCATCTCTGTGCATGCCACACTTGTGCCCACTTTCAGGTTGAGTAACTGAGCCCAGGGAGGTTAGGTCGCTTGCTGGGACTGCCAGATCCGGAGTTCGTGTCTAGCCCCTGCCTGCCCCAGAGACTGTGCTTTGTGATCGACCACATCACCCCCTGCCTGATGTTTAGAAACCTGAGGGAGTGGCTCACTCCCCTCCAGTATACCTCCTTGCCCCAAGAGAGGTTTGAATTTTATTCTTTGTCTCTGGAAACATGAACGAAAGTTCTACGTGGTATGTTTTCACGACTGGGTACCTGGGGCTGTGTGGATGGCTGGGTAAACTCTGTTGGTAAGTAATTATTTTTCTGGCTTCTTGTGAGAAAACTAGCAAGGGGTGCAGAGGGAGTCCAGCAGTGTGCCACTTGCCAGTTTCGTAAGGATCCCTGTGCCAGGCCTCAGCAGCCATGTCCTTGGGTGGCTGCTTCATGCCCCGCCCCCCTGCCGACTGGAGCTCCTGTCTCCATAGAGGGGTGCGACACATAGGCCAGTCTCACAGGCAGCCTGAGCCCCCGTGCACCACAGGCCTTGGCCTGTGAGTGCTTAGCAGACGGAAGTCTTAGGGGCCTTTCTGTGGGTTCCCTCTGACCCTCACAGCGATGCTGAGGCAGGTACAGGGCTGCTCCAGACCTCTCTCATTCTGCTTCTGAAGCCAAGGCCGGACTGCCTTCTGGAAGTAGCAGCCCTTCTCTTACTGAACAAAGGCATTTTTGTGTAGGCTTGCAGACACTCTTGGAAGATGTTGATAGACCTATTTTTTGATGGAAAAATCACAACAGAGGGAGTGTCCCCCCGGCCCCGACTCTAGTTTATGGTGTTGAATGTGGGGGTGCCTAGACCCTGGGTGGCACCCCCTCCTCAGGCAGGGGATCGTTGTCTTGACAGAGTAAACAGTATGGACTGAAGCGGCTGTTCTTTGCTTCTCCCACGGACTACTTTTGTTGCGGAAGTACACTTGCGGGTGCCTAGTTGTGTCCTCGTTTAGTTCTTGTGATGACAAGACGATTCTTTCCAACTGGCTACTCGGTGAGGGAAAGGAGTGTTGAATAGCATCATCCAGACCATTTCCAAAAAATGGGAGAGGTGACGAAAGCAAGAATTGTCTGTCACTGCAGACTTACGGCCTGGGGGAAGTTCGTTGCTACGCTGGGCCGGGTGTCTTCAGCACTGCTGACGTTTGGGGCTGGAGAATTCGGAATGGTGCTGTGCACTCCAAGGTGTTGAGCAGCTCTGGCCACTACCAGAGATGGTCACATACCCACTCTCCCAAGGTGTCCGTTGCTAGGCTTGGCCGGCTTTCCCGAGGGGCCTAACAGGTTAAGAACCCTGAGCCAGGTGGAGAGAATAGCGTCCCTGTTAGAAGAAAGTGCGGGAGAGAAGTTACAAAACGGGACTTGTCTGCTCTGCGCTGAGGTGACAGCAGAAACAAGACGGGAGCCCTTCTGCAGCCGCTGTTCTCTAGTTGGGGGAAAGCATCTGGTCAAAGGGAACAGGACTGTTTGTGGCTGGTGGTAGGTGAATGCTCCTGAAGCAACACACAGGCATTGGGCTGCGGGGACTGTTTTTATAGAAGGGCTGGGGAAGTTTTCTCTGAGGTGATGTTGGGGTTGATCTGGATGGCAGGCTAGGGGCCAGCAAATGTGAAGCTCCTAAAACAGAAAGGAAGAGCTTGATACGGGAACACAAGAGACAGACAAACGTGACGACTTGAGATTTTATTCAGAGTATGACGGGATGCCGTTGGAAGGTTTGAGGCAGGGAAAGAACGGGCTGGCTTAAGCTTAAAAATCAGTGCTTGGTGTAGAGGAGGTGTGACTGGAACAGGGAGTTGGGGCTGATTGAGGGGAGACAAGTAGGTGGACACAGGCCAGCCCACAGGCTCACCCTTGGGGGCACAGGGTGAGGAGGACCCCACGGATGGCTGGGCTAGACGGAGGGGGTCAGGTTGCTGGTAGGGGTGGGAGGCATCCCAGTAGGATCACAGAGTCCAGGCAGTTAGGCAGGCCGGCCGGGACGAGGGAGACTCACTTTGCAGAGGTGGGAATTGGTTCGGAGGTCCCCCAGAAGCCGGGTGGCTGCTCCCTCCAGCTCTCCCCACCACTCCCCTGTCCACCAGATGACGCTTTCGAGGCCCTGCGGATCGAGCCCTTCTCCAGTCCGCCCGAGCTGCCCGATGTGATGAAGCCACAGGACTCAGGAAGCAGCGCCAATGAACAAGCAGTGCAGTGAGAGGGCTCCTGGCCCGCCCCCGGTGCCCCCCCCCCCCACCCAATAAAAGAGATTTGGGCGTCTGCCTGGTTGCTGCTGCCTTTTTCTGCGCACCCTCTCCTGACTCAGGCATCACCTTCCCTGGGACGGGGTCTGCCCCCCTGCAAGGTTCCTCCTCAGCCCCGTGTACTTGCGAGGCTGGCCATGGCTGTGGGACCGACCCCCAAGCTCCTTGGGTCCCTGCTGTCACACCCTTTCGAGCCTGCCCCTCCGGCTGGAGGCAGAGAACCGGGAGGAACCCAGAGCCCCAGGCCAGCCTTCTGCTCAGCCTGGGGACAGAGGTTCCTTCTATGACTTCCAGCAAGCAGGCTCGCTCAGGCTCTGGCGCAGCCTCTGGGCTGAGGGGCAGAGGCCAAAATGTCAGCCAGAGCCAGTGTGGTTCCACGGGGAACCCATCGCCTACAGCCAGCCACCTTACCTGAGTCCTCTAAGGCTTGGGGGGGGGGGGGGGCTCATTCAAAGTGGAAATAATGCTCACTCTCCACCTTCCACCCCTAATAAATAATCTACAGACCCAATTCCTGCATTTCTCATTTTTATTTGACAGAAAAAGTTGCTCTTGCTGTACAGATTTTAAAAAACCAAAATGCCTTTAAGAAACGTGAAGAAAAGTTGGGGGAGGGGCCACAACCTCACTTGGGGGACAGTAGGGGCCAACTAATTTCAACTCGTGCCCCTTCCTTCCAGGAACACCTCACACAAGTTCCCAAGTTCCAACTCCCCCCAGAACTTAGGGCTACAGGGGGGCACTGACACCTCCCAGCCCTTTCTAACTCAAGACCAGGGTGTCCCCAACTGTATCCTCCCCTCCCACAACTCCCATTCTCATTCCCACCCACCCCAAAACTCCCAAAACGTGAACCAGGAAAAACTCACAGAGGTTAACATTTCACAGGAACAAAGAAAAGGGGGGGGGGGCAGGAAGGACGAAGAGTCCTCCCCCAGGAGGCTGCCAGGGTTTGGGGGTGGGGGGCAGACAAGGACCCCTCCCCACTGCTGGGTAAAGGGGGCATTCCCTGCAGCTCCAGAACTTGGGGTGTGGTGGAATTCCCCCCACAGAGATTCAAGGAGACCTGAAACAGAGGAGACAGAGATCAGTGCCTAGGCCCCAGCCAGCCCCAGAGGTCCCCAGGCACAAGAGCTTGACAAGGACGCACCTGGACGAGCGGTGCCGCACGGGGCGGGGGCTGGGTGTCTCCCTCCTGCGCTTGTGGCCAGGGGAGCGGCTGTCCCCACGCTGGCCTCTGCGGGAACCCCGCTCGCTGCTACTGCAACAACAGAGGACGGTCAGCCCACTTGCAAGGCAACACCAACCTCTGGCAACTTCGAGCCTCAAAGCCGCTCAGAGTGGTGGTGACCAGGCCGGCCACTGACGGGGGGGCCTTACCTCTGCTGGTCCCGTGGCGAGGGCTGAGGCGAAGGGCGGCGGCGCTCCGCAGGCGAGTAGCTGAGGGACCAAGAATCTCGGAGGGAATCTATTGGCTTCCGGGGACTACGGGACCTAGGGAGCAGAGGAAGTTCCCATAGCACCACGCTCTTCCAAACCCACCAGCCGGCACTCAGGACCACCCCCCAGGTCCTGACCACCAGACCTCATACCACACAGGGCCAGCCTCAGACCCACCTTTGTCTGCTCACTCACCCATCCGCCCGCACACCATCCACCGAGTGCCCCACTGGGCAGGGCATGGGGTGCAGCGGGGGATGCAAAGAGAAAGACAGTCCCTGCCCTTGGAGGGGCTCAGTCTGGTGGTGAAGGGAGGCCAAGGGAGGCCCGCTCGGCCCCGTGTATGGGAAGCAGCCCCACAAGGACCGATATACGTGGGTCTGGGGACCCGGGGGGAAGGGACACAGGGCGGGGAAAGGGGGGGGAGGGTAGTCTTCTCGAAGGTGCTGTTTGAGCGGAGTCTTGCAGAACGAGGAGTTCACCAGGCGGACAAGGGAATTCCAGGCAGAAGGAACAGCATGTCCAAAGGCATGGGGTTCTCCTTAGACTGCAAGGCGCTGGGTATGGCTGGAGCACAGGGCATGTGTGGGGGCGGGCAGGAGAGGAGAACACAGGGCAGGCAAGGCCAGTTGGTGAAGAGCCTCACACGCCATTCCCGCAGAGGTGGGGCTTTATCCTGCAGGCCACAGGGCGTCCCGGAAGGATTTGTGGAGTGGAGGGAAGTAACCAGATGTGCGTTTTAGAAAGATCCCTCTGGCTACGTGTGGAAGAGAATGGCGTGGAGGCAGGGAGACAGGGAAGAGGCTGTGGACAGAGTCGGGAGAAGATGACGGTGGCCAGACCAGAGCCCTGGCGGGAGCAACGGGGAGATTTAAAATCTAGAATCCCTGGGACGTGGGAGCAGGAAACAGGCTGCATGTCAGGGGAAGGGAGAGGAACGAACCTAGGACTCCACAATTCTGATTGGAGCACCCACACTTGGACCCTTTGCCGGAACAGGGCACAGCACAGGTGGTAGGGAGAGAGCCCAACTCCTCCCACACAACCAGACACCACAGTCCACCAGAGACTCCCGGCAGGGATCTCACGCCCAGGGTCACACCCCGCCCCTTCCGGCTCCGGCAAGGCCGCACTCACCTCCGCTCGCCGGGGGGTGGCTTCTTGGGGCTTGCAGGTTTGGGCAAGGCCTGAGGGCCAGGCTTAGCGGGGGAGGGGGATGAAGAAGTAGAGGAGGAAGAGGAGGAGGAAGAGGAGGAGGAGGAGGAGGAGGAAGAGGAGGAGGAGGAAGAGGAGGAGGAGGAGGAAGAGGAGGAGGAGGAGCTGGAACTGGAGCTACTGGAGCGCCTCTTCCGCTTGGCCGGGGTCGGCTCCGGAGGACGTCCCTCTCGAACAGCCTCCTTGGGGGCTGGGGTGGGGCTGGGGACCCTGTGGGAGAAGCAGAGCGTCAGGGGGAGACTCGCCGCCCCAGCCCCGACCCTACCTTCCTTGGCCTGGAGGAACGGCAGTGGGGGAGGGGTGCCGGAGAAAGGCCCCAGGAGCCCTCGGAGCTGAGAGCCGGCGAGCGCATTCTCTGGAGAGCAGTGGCCCGAGACGCCCCGACCTCTGCTAACACAAGCAACAGGCCGGGCCCGCAGCACAAGGGATCAAGGCTAAACCTCAAGAATGTCCCTGATGGAGGAGGACTAAGGCCCCTGGGCTCAGGTGTGGAAGCCGAGCTGGGCGGTCTCCTTCCCGGGAGAGCCGCGGCTTGGGGCCCTGCGAGCGGGTTGGCTGGGGGAGGGGCCGTCCTGCCTGGAGGCAGGGAGAAGGATGGGATGACCTCTGAAGATCCTTCCAGCCCAGGGAGTTCCTCTTGAGGTCTAACTGCCATCCCTCCTGCTGTAAAATTAAGTCCATTTCCTCTAGTTCTGTCCTCTGTAGAGACGGAAAACTTATCATTATCCTCTAGAGAATGAACCTTAGGAGACTTTTACCTGTCCCATTCCTCCCCCCGGTGCCCCCACCCCAGCATTCTCTTCTACCCCAGCTTAAGGGTCAAGGTCCCATACCTCTTTCAAAAAGCCAAGAGCCTCTGGACAGAACTTCTCCCTCCCCACCCCCCCCCCCCCCCCCCCCCCCCCAAACCGGCCCCACCCAACGGTTCTGCAAGTCAAGCCCCCTCACCTCTTCAGCGCTACCTCAGGTTGAGCAGGAAGGCTAGAGCCTTCCGAGTCGCTAGAACTGGAACCGGAGGAAGAGGAGGAGGAAGAGGACGATGACGAGGATGAAGAGGAGGAGCTGGATGAGGAGGAGGAGGAGGAACTCCGCCGCTCCTTTGCCGGCTGCAGGGTGGCCAATGCAGAAGGCTGCTGGGCCCCCGTGGAGGCTGGTGTTTCCCCACCCTCAGGGTGGGACACCCCAGGGACAGGACCAGAGAGCATGCCGTTGTGGTCACCAGCAGAGGACGTGGTCTTTGCCACCGTCCCAGAGGAGAGGGACTGAGACCCGGCTACAGGGGTGGTCTGGGCGAGCAAAGCTCGGGACTGGTCAGAAAAAGCAGATGGCACAGGGGACCTAGGTCGATCCTGAGCTGGAGGAAGAACACACTGGGAGGAAGCCTGGACCATTCTAGAAGCAGGAGAGGGAGCCCGCTCAGAGGTCATTCTAGACTGGCTGAGGGCAGATGGTGGGGTTCTGGAGCCTGGGCCTCCTGGTGGGGTTCTGGATCTGGCTCGGTCAAGAAGTGGCGGTGAGGTTCTACCACTAACACGTTCGTAAGCAGTGAGGGGCACCCGGGGGCTGGTAAGGTTTGCACCAGACAAGGCTGGAGCCATTCTAGCACTGGTGAGGCTTGCAGGTGCCATGGCTGGAGGGGTTCTGGAGCTGGCAATATTCACAGGAGCTGTAGCATGTGCAGATCTAGGACCCACCAGGTTTGCAGGGGCTGCAGCCTGGGCTGTTCTGGAGCTGGAGGGATAGTTTGCAGCGGTCGGGGGAGTGCCAGAGCCGGTGAGACTCAGAGCTGCCAAGGCAGCCGGGGTTCTGGCTCCTGCTAGATTCACAGCTGGGGCTGTAGGGGTGCGAGGGTCAGCGAGGTTCACAGCAGAAGGTGCCACTGCTGTTCTGGGGCTGGCCAAGTTCATGGCTGCTGCCGCAGCTGGCGTTCTGGAGTCAGCCAGGTTCACTGCTGTTGGTATGGCAGGTGTCCTGGCACCGGCCAGATTCATCGCTGCTGCAGAAGCTGCAGGAATCCTGCTGGCAAGACTGGCAGCTGGGGCCGTTCTGAGACTCATGAGAGGCACTGGAGCTGGGACCTGGGACATTCTTGCAGCAAGGCCAGCGGCAGACATGGATGGAGGTGGCCGAGCAGTGCCAAGACTGATGGCTGTCAGGGCAAGTGCGATTCTAGACTGTGCGTGATTTTCTGGCACAGATGTTCTCGGGTGATCAGGAATTCGGGGACCTGGACCATCCATCATGGAGCCACCAGCTTGCTGCAGGACAGACATAGGTGTTCTAGAGCTGCCAAGGGGTTCCAGCATTCCAGGTGATCGACAGCGGTCCAGAGGAGTTGGTGACATGCTAGGACGACTGAAACAGCTCATTCTGGAGCTATTGAGCGCTACTGGAGGGGTCCGAGAACCAGAATGATTTCTCGTTGCCGGAGGAGTAGCAGAACGTGAGCGATCAGAACTACTTCCAGATGCAGAACGTCTTCGGATGGCGGGAGGAGATCTCGTTAAGGACCGTTTGCCCCGAGTTGTTCGTGGAGTACGGGATCTGGAACGGCGACGGATAGCAAGGGGAGAGCGACTTCGAGAACGCTTGCGTGGCAACAATGGGGTCCGAGATCTAGAGCGACGCCGAATAGCAGGAGGTGTTCGGGACCGAGATCGGCGGCGGGTCACCGGAGAGGTTCGAGAGCGGGACCTCCTTCGAGTTACCGGAGACGTGCGAGATCGAGATCTCCTACGGGTGACTGGAGACGTTCTGGATCTCGATCTTCTGCGAGTGATAGGGGAAGTTCTGCTTCGAGATCGCCTCCTGGTCACTGGTGGAGTCCTAGATCTGGACCTTCTTCGAGTCACCGGT